TATATATATATATATATATATATATATATATATATATATATATATATATATATAGTTTGCATTTGAAAAAAAACAAAAAACGTTTTTGTCGTCAATCTGCTCTGTCCCGAGCTCCTACAGTGGAAAAGCTTTATTTTCACTTGGTATAATTTTGTAAAAAGTCAAAAGGAACCTTTTTCTATCCTATTATTAATCGATTATCAGGAAAAATAATAAACAGATAGATCGATTTGCAGAATAATCGCTATTTAAAGCCCTGCCCCCAGCAGGGGCAGAGCTACATGGGGGGCCAGGTGTGGCCATGGCCACCCTTAGCCAATTATTGGCCACCCCTGTGGCCAACCCCTTTATTTCCCTCTAAATCAGATGGTGGCAACAGTAATACTCTCAAGCAGAATATTCAAAACATTTGAATTTTTCATATATTAACAATTACTTGACAACAAAAACACTATGGTTAATTATGCACATGAATATACTGACATTTAAGAGGATAAATACAGAATTCAAGCAGAAATAGATTTTATGTTTAATGTGGTAAAGAGAAAATAATGTGTCCCTGCAAGTCATCCAGGAGTCTTCAGTGAAATCATAAATAACAATTTTAATAAAAACGTAATAAATAATCAATTTATGTAGATATAAGTACATGTAAATACAAGTTTTATGCAGAATGATTACTGATAAAAGTAGGGAAGTGATGACAATGGAAAAGATGTTCGCCCAAAAACTCAAACCTGAAAGAATTTTATCCACTATAACTTTTATTTAGAAAGCACAGATGTTTGAATATATGTGTCTATTAGTAAGCAAAGGCTGTGGGGAAGTATAGTTTGTCTTTATTTAGAAAATATGGATGTTTTTGGTCGTTAATTTTCCTATTGGAACAGTGTTGATTGACCCCGAGGTTTTGCTTTCGGCCCCCTCTCAGTGTACATTGGTTATTGCCTGGGCACCCTTGTTAAAATTATCTGGCTGCGCCTCTGGTTAAACCCAGAGTATGCGCTTCAATGGGAGCGCGTTTGTTTGTGTTAAAGCAGGTGATCTAAAGTGACTTACTCAAAGGCGAAGAAGAGGGAGCAGGTCCCGATGATGAGGAACAGGGTCAGGTAGAAGATCCCCTTCTGTCGGGCCATCATCACCCTCCCATCGCAGCAGAAGGTGTTCTTCCCGGGAAGCTTCTCCCATTTTCGCACCTTTCGCGTTATCATCACCGCCGACATGGTGCCTTTTTTATATAATCTTCTATAAACTGGAACAAATCGATTTAAATAGTGATGTTCGGCCAAAGATAAGCAGGTTGATTGGATGTTAAACCCTTCCTCTGCATGTTTTCCCAACAGGATGGTCGGTGTCACATCATTGCTGCTTCCTGCTCCATCTGACTGCAGCGCGTTTTTTATTCCCACAGCCCCGCTGCGCTGCGCTCCTCCTCAGCCAGCTCTTTAATCCCTCCAGGGTCCGCTCACAGCTGCAGATGATTAGAAATCCATCCGAACGACGCGACAGATGTTTCCCACTAAAAGAAAAAGAAATCCACTCGTGTCTGTGGCAGAGCGGACCTTGACCCTTTGAATTTCATATCATCAAGATAGAAAAATCATAAAGGAGCGCGCAGGAGAGAAACAGCCGCTCTGCAATCATAGATCCTGGAATGAGCCCACCCTGGAGTCAGATCAACCATAAAAAATTATCTAAAAAAAAAAAAAAAGAAAGATTGATCGCCTTTTTGGGTCAGAAATGCGTTACTGTGCGGGATGAGCTTTTCTCCCTGCAGGATGAGCTCCTGGTTTTAGTCAATGGCAGCAGGAAACACGCCTAGATTGAAATTTCATCTTAAAGGGACAGCACAGGTGAAACAGAGGAACAAAGGAACACGTTCAGCTCGGCTTTTACATTAAAAATAAAACTAATTTCATGTTTAAAATGTTTTATCATACCTTCTTAATTTTTTATTTAACGAATCAAAAGATGTAGAAGAAGTACATGATCCAAAAATCAATTAAATCCCAAAATAATTCAAGATAGCCTACTTTTAAAAAAATCCATTCCAATGGATCTATTTACAAGGATAAGATGCTCAAATTGAATTACTTATTGAAGTGTTTTTATTTATTAATTATATCAAACCAGAGAGGCAGTATTTATTTGAGAGAAATATCTGCTGTGATGCTTCCATCATCACCTTTGTTTATAGATGTTGGAGATTGGCCTTTTTTCCAGTGTAGTCCTATTTCTCTGACCATGACTGGCTGGATGTGCTCTGTTCATCCTCTGACATGGGAGTTTGTTTGGATCTCTTCTGCCTGGCTGTGTGTTTCGGGATAGGGCCACTTTTTACAGCTTTTTTTGGTTTTGTTGTTTTTTTATCTCTGCTTCTGTCTCCTTCAACCCCAGATGGCCTGAGCTGGTTCTGCTGGAGGTTTCTTCCTGTTAAAAGGGAGTTTTTCCTCTCCACTGTCGCTACAAGCATGCTTAGTGTGAGGGATTGCATTCGAGTCAATAGAAAGCTTTAAATCAATTTGACTGTATGATTTGGTAAACTGTAAAGTGCCTTGAGATGACACATGTTGTGAATTGGTGCTATATAAATAAACTGAATTGAATTGTACTTATCACTTTTTTATACTATAGCCTAATATAACAGTTAAATTGATGTACCTGCTCTAAACAATCAGTGGTTCCCTGCTCTATTCTCCACAGTAAGAGAAACAGTCTCCCCTATAACCTCTCAATCCAGTTTAAAGGCAGCAGGTTAATGAATGCAGAGAACTACCTCTTGTTCTTTGCTAGAATAATATTGACCAACATCAAGCTTTGGTGAAGCAGTCATGGTTGGCGTCCGTGTTATGAATAAAACAAAACATAAGGACTTTGTTCAGACAAAAATTGGAATATATCAGCCTGCATCTAGAGTCTCCAATATTAGCATGCTGAAAGAAACATTCCACTTCTGTTTAAACTTAATGTAACCCATTGGTTAACAATAAAGGGGTAAGATGTTCTCAGAAATGTGTTTTCTATTTTCCCCTGTTTGAATATAACTTGATTAAGCCACTTCTACAACACTATAAAAGAAATAATAAATGAATGATACGTGCTGATATCGTATCAGGTCAATATTAGTATTCAAGGCTGCAATAATGGTATTTTATTGGAAGTAAAGAAGTTGTATCAGGACGTCTCTAACAACAGCCTGACAGTTAAGAACCTCAGCGTGCGGCTAAGTACGACTTTTCATTTTTGTTGCAACATAGAAACATACAAATCACGATTTTCACTATGTTTGTCATTTTGTGAAGTGCACCAGTCCTTCTTGCAGCAGCGAACCCCAGCTTTAGTTGCCAATCCTATATGGTGCTTTCAAGCTTGCAAGATTTCCTCCCTGCTTCCAAGTGATACATTTTTCCAAACAATAAACTTCTAGTTTCATAAGACCACATGACATGTCTTTAAAGTGTCAGGGGGTGATAGCAAACTGCTACCAGTCTTTTCATGTATCTTATGGTGTAACGGCTTAATCGTCAGAAAGTGGTATTGAAGGACTTTACTTTCACGAAGCCAAAAACTTATAGAGGTCTTTTCTCACACATAAATGTCTTGTACAAAGAATTTATTTTCATGGTGTCTATAGTTTCTTATAATTGTATGAATGGATGAAGGGTGCGTCTATTTCATTACTGAATGAAATACTGGATGAAAGAGACGAGGGACGTCAACACTAATCGCTTTTGTTTTTCTGTGTCACACAAGGAAGTCCTTTGATTGAGGTTTTGCAACCATGATGAGCCTCCATTTAAATCCTTTGAGCTAACAAACCAGAAGCTTACAGAGTCATGATATCATGATAGATTGTTTAAAGGAAAGTAATCTGAGTCTGTATTGGCTTCTGACATAAAAAAAAAAATACCTTCAATCAATGTAATAATTTTGGCATTTAACAAATAGGGACAAAAAAATTTTTGTAATCTAAAAAAAAAGGACAGATTAAGCCGATTTCATGTCAGACCCTGTGAAGAATTATTTTTTTTTTTCAGTCTTTTTACACATGCTTTTACTGAATAGTAAGCTCTGTGTGGAAACTGCTTCATTCTATATTTGAACTATCCAGATGTAGTAAATGACAATATTAATGACTCTTTGCTGAGTTTCCCCAGATCCTTTTAACCTTTTGATCAATATGTCTGTATAATTTGATGTATAAATGATAAAATGTCTGTACTTTTGGCATTTTATCAAGTCCTAGAACCCCAAATAGCTTTACACTAAATTCAGACATTCACCCATTTATATCCATGCTGTATCCACACATAAATAAGGTGAACATGCATTCCTGTATGCAGGGAGACCCCAGGGCTGAAAGAAAAACCAGGACCTTCTTGCTGCAAGGCAACAGTGCTGCACATTAGGTCCAGTGCGAAATATCATCAAAGATACAGTAGAAAATAAATCAAAATGAAATTATTACATAATTTTAAAGTTTTGATTTAATTAGAATAATTTGTGGAGATGTGATAACAAGCACATCCTCCATGATAAGCAGTGGATCAGTAGTTAGACATGTGAAGTCACCACTGGTCTGTGAATTTTTGATGGACAATGGTTAAAAAAACAGTGAATAGGCAGCATAATACAGCCTCAGATAGTGTGTATCTGTATTATCTAAATAAAATCATAATATTCAGATCTGCTATTTTAGCAAATGCAATATCAATGCCCCCAGCCTCGTGCAACTAACCCCACTTTTGGGGTAAGTTTTAAAATTTCATGGCTGCTTTTTCCAGTGATGCTGTGGAGAAAAAAATAAGGAAGCATCCTTTGCTTACAGCCTTTAAACCAACCATCATACATACTATAAAAGATCAGTAAGGTTTGTGATTTTAAAAGATTTCTTTGAGAGTGTGAATATCTATTCTAGGGAAGATTAGCAACTGTGTAGTTAAAGCTATCTGACTCTAACATAATGTTTTCACCTTTTAAAAAGGGTTGCTTCAATAAAAAAAAAAAAATAAAACTAGTTCCTTGAACTGCACTCTGTTGGACCGAGATGTCTGATGTATTTCTAGGGATCTGCTGTAACCACTCCACCAGTTTGGGGGTCACTGCCCCGAGGGCCCCAATGACCACAGGTACCACTGATGTCTTCACCCTCCAGGTTTTCTCCAGCTCTTCTCTGAGCCCCTGGTATTTCTCTAGTTTTTCATGTTCTTTTTTCCCTGATGTTGCAGTCACTTGGCATTGCTATGTCAACCACAACACCTTTCCTCTGTTTTTTGTTCACCACCAAAATGTCCGGTTGATTTACCATTACCATTCGATCTGTCTGTATGTGGAAGTCCCACAGGATCTTGGCTTGATCATTCTCTACCATGTTCCTGTACACTATTCCAGCCACTTGGTTAAGGCGCTCCATGTAAGCCCTCCCTGCCAGCATCTTGCCCCCTGCAGTTATGTGCTGGATTGTTGCACAGTCTGCACCTGGGGTCTTTTCTTGTCACTGACACTAATGAGCTGAGATATATATATATATATATTTTTTTTTTTATTTTATCTTAACTTTAATTTTAAAAAAATTCAAAGAAAAAAAGTTTATATGAAAAAATATATTTGAGACAAACAAATGTTTCGATCATTGGCTTCTCTTTGATTAAAAATGTTTTCGTTTAAGAAGTGACGTTTTTTTTAAGCTAGTTTTTTAATTGAAGTAACATAGTTAATTGATTGGACCATATAATGGGTCACTTTTATACATTAGTTGATAATCCGATCATTTGGTATTCAAAGCAACACTTTGTCGCCATCTGTCGGCGTCAGAGAATAATTACACAGACTGTTATATACCTATATATATATTTTTTATCTCCTTCTTTTATTCTATTTTTATAATTATTGTTGTTGTTTGAGCCAATAGTTAATAACTAACACGTAAAATAAAGAAATAATTATTTAAACAAAACTTTGTAAAATAGCAAACAAACCATTTGTCCGCCCTTCATAATAGTCCGGTTGGAAACAAAACCTGACATGGCACAGACACTTTGTTAAATGGGAGCTAATCCACTGCATGTAGTGTGTATGTTCATAGGAATGATTTCTTTTTTTATAAGCATAAAGTGCGTATCTACTTGCTCATAAATGGATGATGTTCCCTGTCTTCGTGTGTCTCCTTGTCAGACACAGCATTTCAGGTACTGTTCGGTTAAAGCGTCATGTAGCCATCTAAGCTAGCACGTAGTGTGTGTGTTTTGAATGTTGTTGGGTTTTTTCTACAGGTGCTATCTTCAGTCCAGAGGGTTTTTTGATAACCGTTTCAGTCTGGTTAAACAACCAGACGGGACAGTCCTCCTTCCCCTTTTAGCCTCCTCCCTCCCACAGCTGGAGCTTCAGGCTCTGAAAATGTCTTCAGGTTCAGATGTTTGTGATTTAACCTGGAGTCAGGTAAGCACCACCTTTGGTTTGACAGATTTTATTCTATCATCCTGCTCTATTCTTGTTTATAGGGTGATTAGATGGAGTAAGATAAACTGAAAAGTTTTGAAGCGTTAAAATAAACTAAATAAAATAACATAATTTGCTTGTTTTGATCTCTACTACAAAATATTTTCCAAACATTATATCAGTTATCCTACATTATGCATGAAATAATCAGTTTAACAAGCTTTGTCACAGTCATACTGGTTGAATAACAGGAGATGAAATTATTATGCAGCAGAAATGCTTTAACAAATCGTGCCTTGAGATCTATTAGTTAGGTAGATCCAGAAGTATTTATAGAGCTGTTACCAATGCTTCTCAATTCAATGTCTTCATTAAAGGATCAAAGAATCACCTTTATGCCACTATTTTAGTTTACAGCCTAGATGTCATGTACTTTGTCGGCCTTGTAACCAGTCATGATCGTACTTTAACATCTGTACTTGCTGTAAAGTTGACACATTCATATTTATTTATAAACATTCCTCACACCTCCACTTCCGTGCTTCAATATAAATACTTTTCCGTTGCCATGCTTCCACAAAACAAGAGTTGCTTTCAATCCTCAGCCACTATGTTGATAGGTGCAGAGGCATTTCTCATGCTGGTAATAGTTTATCCTCTTCTTTATGAGTCATGCAGTCTTTCCTCATTACATTTAAGACATTAGATCTGCTTATTAGACACTAATTTGTTACATACAGAGGAATTTTTTGTGTCATTCAAAGATCAACTGATGCAGGTTTTTTTTTTTCCAAGAACGATGCTGATACTGATTATTTTGACATGCTTTTTTCTTGGGTCGATTCTTTGGGGCGATATCAATTTTTCTTCGTCCATTTGTCTCATAACAAGTAAAAGACTGACAGCAAATGTTACACAAGTCTCAATATAAACAACACTTCAAACAAAACATTACGGTAACAATCGATATGAAATGGAGGGAGTGGCAATGCATGCACTTCTTGTGATCTGAATGCACTGAATCAGCAATCACATGCAAATATAGGCTAAGAAAAAAAAAATCATCCATTAAAAAAAAAAATAGAGATCAAATTTTTTTGGTCCAACTCTAGTTTCAATAGTAGATCATCTCCTCTTTATTAGACATGCAGCTTTGCATCATCACATTTTAGCCCCTTTCTTACTATAAAGACTATTCCCTGTATACCTCTTGGGTCTCATCTCTTAGTATAAATGGGCTGCAGAAGCATTTGTGGTAATGATGTGGTGCTTAAATCAACCAGCTTTAAAACCAACCAGAACTATAAACTATATAATTGCTCTGAAATCAGCTTTAACTGTCTGAAACGGTGGAGCAATTGCCACAACTGTCCTGGAAAAAGAACATTTATCAGAGAACACCAGAACAGAGCTTAGAAATGGCAGCAGTTTCTTTGCACACAATGAAGCAGAGGCATAACCTCGGCCTTTTACAAAAAGCAAAGCATTTTAAGATCATCCATGAAATTAGCTTTTGCAGTCAGTAAGACACAGCAGAGTTGTATCAAAAGGTTATCAAGAAAAACAGACACTTAAATTCTGCTGAGAAATTGTATTCAAGCCTAAAAAATTATTTGAGATTAAAAAATCCTCATAGACATCTAGCCATAACAGTACTGCAGCAGAGAAGTTTGTGCAAAAACAAATTTTCTCTTCCTAAAACTTTTAGCCATAACTGTAATAACAGCCGGTTTAAGATGTTTTTTGCCTTCAGCTGTCTCTCCCCTTCTTTCCTTAGTCTCTGCTAAAGCAAAGAAAAGAGAAGGGGAGAACAGGTGGAAATAAACTGGAGAGAACCCTTCAAGAGCTGTTGGAGCGTCAGGGTGAAAGATGGACAGAGGAGTTGAGGAGGGATCTTCCTCGGGGCTTTCAGAGGCACGGAGATCTCATCCTGCTGGGGGACAACTGTTTTACCCTGCCTTTATGGTCCAAAACAGGTACAAATTCTCCAATACCATAAAACTATTAAAAATAAATGCGAGGGACATTAATTTTCTTTGTCTCTCACTGATCCAGGTGATCAGTTATGGACTGCAGTTACCAAAGCTCTGGGAGCACAGCGGCTGGCAAAGATGAGCCCAATATCCAAGGATGGATTTAGGACTCCTGTAGTAACGATGCTGCTAGGTGACAACAGCTGGGTCACACATGTAGACAATGGCATCAGGTGCGTACCGATAACCATTTGTTTTCTTTCCCATATTTAACTGACATGCCGTTAATGAATACTGCATGTTTGTTTCAGCTATGAGTTTGACGTTACCAAGTGCATGTTTTCAGCTGGGAACATCACAGAAAAGCTCCGTGTGGCTGGATTCGACTGCAGAGGAGAGACTGTGGTGGACTTGTATGCAGGTAGGGAAAGCTGATTTTTATTTTATTTTTTTTCAGTTATAAATGTGGTTTCCAGAAGTCAACATCATCTCTATTCAGTTCATGTTAATTTAAGTCGCATTACAGGACTTTTAAAATGTATAAGCCAGTAGCTCATTATATCTGCATACACATTTTTATTTTTATGTTTAATGCATTGATATTACTCAATTTGTTTGTTTTAAAAAAAAACTATTCTGTGTATATTTACCATAGCTGCACACGTAACATCAAACAAGCTGAAGCAATGCAGGCGAGCATGTTTGGACCTCCCAGTGGAGTTATAAAATTAATGAAGACAAGTCCTAGATGTTTGATAAAGTGCAAAGAAATATCTGATTCCAAGAGGGTTAAAACTTAAATTGTGCTTTGAGTACAGTATGAATGTTGGTGTGCAGTGAAACAGCAGAGGGTTGAGTGAGAATCCCTCCTAATGCTTATACAGGTGATGGCAGCACTATGTTAACACCATGCAATGAAATAAACAGAGCAGGGAAACAGTTTTCTGTCACTGCTTTCAGATTCAAGATCAGATTAGATTCAGGTCTCATCAATGGGCGTCACAGTAATTAGATGTGAAGAAGACATGTCTAATTGAAAATGAAATGCAATCAGGGAAGATTAATGTGGAAGCACTTGCACAAAACAGAAACCAAATATCTAAGCAAATCAGTCTATTAGCTTATTTGCCCGAATATAAGACTAAGTTGTTTTGTTTTTTTTTTGTCAAAAACTATGTGAAAATATGGGGTTGTCTTATGAACGGGGTCTAACCAATTATACAGGCTGAGGATTGTCTGGGGTCGCTACATGAATGCAACACCAGTGGGCGCCAATTTTTGTTAAGCCATTGACCTCACTCTGGCTGAGGTCATCTTTCTATCACAACAGAGAAGAGGTGACAAGGATGCTACAACTAGAGAGTCGCTGCCCAGAAATTAGTGGATCAAAAAAAGTTTGCAGCAATTGAGGCAGATTTATGACACAGATTTTAAAATAATGGTGGTCGACGCAGCGGAGGCATCAGCCAACTGTTGGCAGCAAAGAAATATGGATTTATAGAATACAATGTCAGAAGATGGCGCGTTCAAAGAGACCAGAAAAATGTGAACAGCAAAAGAACAGCGAATCAAAAAATTGCAGAGTGAGAGTAGGAGTGACGGCGAGCGCAGCGAGGCCGAGGACGTCTGTGAGGAAAAGCCTCATGCAGGTTTTTGATGCATTCCATGAGCAAAGTTCAGATTCATTCGAGTTGAGGTGTTGTAAGTTTGTGTGTAAAATGTGTCATTACTGTTTTTTTTGTTCTTTTTATTGTTTAATTTCACATATCTTTCAATGCAATATTAATATCAATGATTTTTTTTAGATCTTGAATATAAAATAGTTTATTATTATTTTTTTTTCTTTTTGGACGACAAAAAGGGTCGTCCTACATTCAGGTCAGTACGGTAATTAGCATTTATTTGAGTGTATTCACAGCTGCTGATGTGCCCCAGAAGAAGAAAAATGTAGATTGGCCATGAAGTAAAACAGGAAGTGTGAGATAACAGGAAGGATTTGTGCAAAGGAAGCGGTCATGTCTGAACTTATAGTAAATACCACAACTAAGATCATGTCAGGTCATGATAAAAATCCAACTTAAAGAGTCAAAACTTTGAGAAAAAAACACAGTAAAAGAAGTTTCCATGGAGACCCTTTAAAAATGGAACTTATTCGTACTGTTTAACAAACTACTGTATAAGGTTTCTCTTCCCGCTGTTATGTCCTCCATAATATTTACATTTTGACACCCCTGCTAGATATGTGTGTAAAAAAAAAATTAAATAAAAGGCTGTTATGGAGAATTTGTAACCCCGAAATGCTCCTCATTGCTTCAGCAAGCTTTTGAGATCTTATAATATTGATAATATTCTCCTGACTCCATGTGCGGGAAAATAAACCTGGTCACTCATCCTGCTTTACTGGTTTTAAACCTTTTATTATTACTCTGACTGTAGATAAGGATGACAGATGAGATTAACTTTAATAACCTGTTCTCTTGTCTTTGCCATTTTGAAAAGTGGCTGAAAGAAATTTCCCATTATTCTAATACTTCAGGAATATCGATACCCATACTCAGGAAAATATTTGATACTCAATACCATTTTCGATACCACAAGACCCCAAAATTTAAAGGAAATATTTTTATTCATAAATAAATACAATAAACAATAAGAAAAATACTTTGAGGTTGTATGCCATGCACAATATTAAGCAAGCTTGATTAAAAAACTAACAAAATTAACTTAAGTGTTCCTTCCTTTGCTATGCTTTACACACATAACAATGACACTAGCTAAACCAGTTAACAAACCAAAATAAATGCTGTATTCTGCGAGGGAAGAGCATACCTTGGGTTTAGCTGCTTAATAAGTTGTTGGAACCCACGTTTCTCCACAGTTAAAGAGGACGTACATATGTACTCTGCCACAGCTCTGTTTATTTTTTTTAGCTTCTGGGGACTTGGCATCGTATTTCCGATGTTGGTCAAGCATAGATGGCAGAGTCAGCTATGTTTGATGGTGTTTAGATGCAGGTCTACTTCTCTCTGCTTCATTCTGTGACTTCAAGAGAGAACAAACACTTTTCAGTGGTTTCGATACTTTTGAAAATGAGTATCGTATTCAGATACAACATTTTACTGTCGATACTTTGGGTATCAATACTTTTGACAATTGTAATGGAGGTAGTATAAGAAACCTCCATTACAATTTTTTCTTATAAAAAAATATTGGGGGATCTGATGCTGTTTCCACCATCAATTTCTTCCTAAAACTCACACACATGCACACAATATAAATATTATATTACATTTGTTTATACCTTCAGCCTATTTGCACAAATATAGCCAGAACATTTTAAGAAGAAAATCAAACGTTTTTATTGTCTTGGTTTAGTTAAAGCTCTGATAAACTGCAGTTTGTCAGTCAAGTGTTTAAAATGCAGAATTGGAAATTTGATGCTTGAAATTGTAGAAGTAACTATTAGATAACTAAATATGAAATATATTTAAAGAATATTATGAAGGGGTATGATAAAAATGTAACCACACACCTCAGGCGTAATGTTATATACACTCAAAAAAATATATAAACGCAACACTTTTGGTTTTGCTCCCATTTTTTTATGGTCACACCAGATTTCCTTAGCCCCCTCCCCCAATAAAACAAAACTTCACTTTTCAGAGTGAACTTTTATTATGGGCAATCTAAGGCTACGATTACACTGCAGGCGTTGATGCTCGATTCTGTTTTTTTTTTTTGAAATTCCGGTTTTTTTTTTTTTTTTTGTTGCCGTTCACATTTCCCAATATATGCGACTTGTATGTGATCTGTGTGAACGGCAGTCCTACAACGCAAGTGTCCAGCATGTGCAGTAGAGGACGCAATGACGTCACAGGCCAGCGTGCTTGAAAAGATTGGATTCGTATCCGATTCAAGACCATATATAGCCAAGAAGCCTGGGTCGCACTGGAAAAAAATCGGATCTGTGTTGTTCAGACTGCAGTGAAAAGATCAGACACAGGTCGCATACGGGCCAAGAAATCGGATTTGGGTCACTTCAGGCTGCAGTGTGAACGTAGCCTAAGGCACAGATGTGCACTAATCATGGTGTCTAATTAGCATCTTGAAATGGCACACCTGTGAGGTAGGACTGATTAACTCAGCAAAGGAGAACTGCTCACTATCACAGATTTAGAGTGGTTTGTGAACAATATGATGATTTTATTGTTTTTGTGGAAAAAGTTTTAGATCTTTGAGTTCATCGCATAAAAAATGGGAGGAAAACAAAAAGTGATGCGTTTGTATTTTTGTTGAGTGTAAATATTGAAAGGATTGCAATGATTTATTTATGTAAAGTCTAAAGGTTATTGCTTGAAACGAGACCTTGTTAGCACCTACTGTTTGTTCTTTAAAGAGTTTTGTCGTTGGAAAGCTTTATTCTTTTTATTTTAATGCTGATTTGTAAAAAAATAAAAATAAAAAAATGGGCAACAAAAGATTAAATATAAAAAAAAAATTATCTTTCTGTACTACATGACATTTAGACTGAAATTAAATTTTTCTGAGTTTTTAAACCTACTCATTTCACTCCTGGGTAATTATTTCATTTTACCTCCTTTCAGGTATTGGATACTTCACCCTCCCATATCTGGTGCATGCGAAGGCCAGTCATGTCCACGCCTGTGAGTGGAACCCTGACGCCGTTGCTGCTTTACAGAAAAACCTTAAAGTAAACGGGGTATCAGACCGCTGCACCATTCATCAAGGAGACAACCGTCAAGTAATATACCTTCATTTGTTTCTTATTTTTTCCTTTCGCTCTAATAATTTTCTTCAAGGTAGAGAAAACTTTACAGCTCAGTAACTCCCTCTAATTGTAATTTTAGAGAACTTCACCATGACTGATAAGGAAAATAAGATAAAAATCTATAAGAAAAACATGTATACAATTATGATTGTTTTTGTTGTTTTTTTTTTTTTATTTTGCCTCTTGGCCTTTGGAGAGAACTCCCTGGGTCAGAGTTCAAATCCAGAGGGACTGCAAGTTGAACTATGCCCTCCGATACATGGATTACTCTATCCTCACACCATATTGTGTGACTAATGATTATTTAAGAATGAAAACTTTGATTGTCATGTTTCAGGCTTTCTCAACATGTTTTCTGAACTCCAATTAGTTTGAAGGGATGTTTTCAATTCAAATTGCAGTTTGTCATCGCTTAGGTCTAAATTTTGAAATGTTGCCTAAAACTTTCTTCATATCCCAGGTCCAGCTGTGCAATATGGCCGACCGTGTAAACTTGGGTCTAATTCCGAGCTCTGAGGACGGCTGGCCCATCGCATGTCGGCTGCTGAAGAAGACAACTGGCGGCATTTTGCACATTCACCAGAACGTCACCTCTCCGATACAGAGGGCTGCTGTCAGAGACGGTACTCCTCAGGTTTCTCCAAAGAAAGCTGACAGAGAGGTGTGGCAGGGCTGGGCTGATGATACTGCAAACAGAATAGCTTCCCTTCTGCAGGATCTCTGTGGTGCACCGTGGCTAATAAATATCCAGCACATAGAGCATGTGAAATCTTATGCACCTCATTTGAACCATGTTGTGCTGGATTTGGACTGCAGACCATCCTGAATGAATGGCTGAAAAAGCTGTACTTCCTTTTACTCAAGGGTATCCTGTGCAAACTAAGTCTAATTACCCTGACTCTGGAGGACTTGGGAAACACATTCTTTCAGCTCAAACAAGCTCCTCTTAAGGAAAGCTTATGTGTTATATTGATGTTGCTGAAAGGCTTCGTTTAAAGACACATCGTTGTTGGAATACTCCCCAAATCTTCTGCAAATACCTGATGGCTGTTTAGAACTAGACGTGAAGATCTGCTTAAAACTCAACTGGATTATTAAAATAGTTTTCTTGTTTGTGGATGTTTTGAATTCTCTTCAGGTATCATTTTTAATACTCTTGAGGTCAAAAGAAAGTTTCATCAAAAGGAAAGAAGAATGATTGAAGATTTCAGAGAGCAGCCTTCAAGTTTCGTTGGAGTGGATATAATTTGAATCATATGGTGTACCCTTCAAAATAATCCTATCTGAGCATGGTCGAGTAGATAATGAAAGATTTACTCCCTAAAAAGGATTTCTCTTCTCTGTGGTTAAGGTTTGTCTGCTAAAGCACAAAGTCAGGATTGTTACAAAGGAACAATGAAGCATGGACAACATTCTGAACATATACGGTTTCAGTCAGAAATGCTGCTACATTCTTCCTTTCCATGAATGTCATTATTTTGGCCTTAAATGCAGCATTCAGCAAATGTTTATAAAATATGTGTAGTGGGGAAAAAGGTATTAAACTATGCAGTCCAGTTAAATAAAGGAGATAGGTGTTAATTCACTCAGTCAGGACATTAACAAGATGGCATCATCTCCAGCTCTGCTCTGACTATATAAGGTTTGTTTCACTACCTGCAGGAAGGCTGTGAAGGTCTCCACATACCGTTACTCAAATTGCCTACAGACATTTAAAAAAAACATAAAATGTTATGAAATAAACCTTGAGAAACAGTCTAGCTTGTTATGAGAATGATTATTTTTATCCCTAATAGGATAAACAACCCCTCTCCCTTAGACACCTTGGTGCCTTGCAGCTCCGAGGCCTGAATGGATAAAAGTCATTGAAATGAAAGATTTAATCTATGGATTTTCTCTGGTCTTTACAGGGTTAGAATTAAACATACAAAATGAAATATAAATGCTTGGTTAAATGTGCTCCATGACCAGACACTACTTCTACTAATCATACATTTTCTGTCATATTGCTCTCCAAGGTATTAAACAACCCGTCTCGTTTCGAAATGGTCAACTTTCTTTGAATTAATTGTTACTTGACGCCCACTTGGCTTTTAACCAAAGTCCATTTTCCATAAGAGTTTGTGGGATTCTTTATATTCACATATTTAGCAATTCTAAATGTAGTTTTAATCCATGTTGGAGGTCATTGTTCTGTTGGTACTCTCTATTGTGTCACTCAATTTACTGAGTGAGCCAATTACCTCATACCTGTTTTTTTGTTTTGTTTTTTACCTCATAGACTAGTCTGAAATCAATGTTTAATAAAAAAAACTGATTTAAACCAAAAAAAGACTTTGCTGGAGAAACTGGGCTTTATCTTTAAAGGGTGTCATCCCCACTTATAGGTTGTCATAAGAAGCTATGACCAATAGTCTGATCAGAATACAGTTTTTAATTGAATGAATATGGCTTTAAACCAGTGAAAATTGAAATAAAAGAAACCCTTGGCATGATGCTTCCACTACTGTACCTCACTGCTGGTATATATTGTTATTTGGCACAAGAGCGTCGCCTGAATATGATTTTTCTCATCCAAAAAGTTTATTCTTTCTCATATGACGATGATAGTTTTCCCCACAGCTCCAAATGAGCTCTTCCAGTGGCGGGATTTTCTATAATAATAAGAAACAAAAAAGGAAAAAAAATGTACACAATGTGCATGTCAGGGTATTTGTAAACAAATGCTTTAGACCTTGTATAACATTTGTGTCTATGTCAACCTCACAATTTCTGCAAATATATTTTCAATAACCATATATATTCAGTCACACACAGCCTAATTTAATTACTTCTAAAACGGAGGTCACATTTTGGACTTCATGTTTTTGAGGGATTGCAGATTGTTGTAGATGCCACCTAAATTTCCCTCTGCCCCTTTTTAATTTAAAACTATACAGTCATGTTTCTAAAAGGCTTAGAATATGTAATTTCATAGAAAAGGGTATTTTACTGATTTATATGCAGAAGCATAATAAGTACTGAGGAGTTTTCTACCATGATTACTGATCTGGGATTTCAGTAACAGTCCTGGGTTTAATCTGGCAACTTGTATATTTTATTAAATAAAAATATGTTTTCTGTGCAAAGCTGGTGTGTTTTAGTTTATCCCATAAAGATTCAGATATATAGTAGATCAATCTGATTTTTAATAATGTAAAATTACATTTTGCAACTACTTAATCATAATAGGTTTACCAGAATTGTTTAATGTTGGCAGGGTTGGTCATGAAAGAATTGTGTTAAAGTAATTAAATGTGTTTAAGTAGATGCAAAACATGCATAAATGAATGTATTTAAAATTACTGCTGTTTAACTGTGACAGACTTCTCTTATCCTGACTTCACCTCGAGTCATCTTACTCTCTCATTAGGGGTCTTCTTCTCAAATATTTTTGTTTAATTTAAGGATCAGCTGATGTTTTTTAATACTTCAAATTAAAAATAGATTTTAGCAAGATAAAAAAAATGGAATTACACATCTCTAAAGGTGAATTAATATATTACCAAATAATTTTCTTGGGGAGGGGAATTTTTGGCATTTGATTTTTATACTTCAATAAATACTAAAATTAGTATTTTAATTTATTTTTTTATTTTTTTCAAACTGAAATTAGGATTTTCTCTCAGACTCATAATTAGTAGATTGTTGGCTTAGTGATTAGAGCAGTGCTTTTGTGCTC